TCAAGCGGTTCAGATCCTCCGCATAAAAACAACATCTCGTGGAACATCTCAGGCGAGAGATCGCTTTCTTTTGATCGCGTTACGGAATTTCCGGGTATTGAATTCAGTTGCCTACACTTGAAGAATACTGGTTAATTAAAGAATTGTATTTCTATGTCACATTCGTTTAGGATGTACTAACTATAGAATTAATTAGTTGAAATTGGAATTGAACCGAATTAAGGTATTGTTATTTAAATGTTAACCGTTCTCTCATTTATTGTCTCTCCCGGCTACTCTCCGACGTGTCCGCAGAATCAAGGAAGATGTAAGAATCACGATGCTCTACCACGCGGAACAGCGAATAATTCGACCCGCTATTAGACAATTAAAATCTGAGCTCTCTGAGGTGGGCTCGCTGCCACGCGAATACGGGAGCGAAGAAGTTCCGCAACCGACGTGGACGAGAATTTTGTTTACAATATATATATATATATATATATATATATATTTATTTATTTATTTATATTTATTTAATAATATTTATTATTGGTAATACAAATAAGCTTCCGCCGTTTTTTTAAGAAAATTATCAATTTATTGTAAAAAAAATATACGTTATATTTTATTCAAAATATTGTCCGTCACTAACTACTACTTTTTGCCATCTTTCTGGCAGCATTCGGATGCCACGTCGAAAAAACTCTTCATCTTTTGAGACTACACATGAATCGACCCAATTTTTGGCTTCTTCGTAAGAAGTGAAGTGCTGCTCGACCAGGGCGTGAGCCATCGACCGGAACAAATGGTAGTCCGAAGTAGCAATGTCTGGTGAATACGGCGGGTGGGGTAAGACATCCCATTGTAAAGCTTCCAAAGTATCCTTGACGACTTTTGCAACATGTGGCCGAGCGTTGTCGTGCTGAAAAGTCACTTTGTCATANTCATCTCCCGTCACTATTCGATGCAAAAAACCCTTCCGATTTTGTCTTTGGAGAAGTTGCTCGCACGTGAAAAGATGGCATTCGACGTCTCTGGGTTTGAGTTCATGCGGAACCAAATTTCCTTGCTTTTGTACCATAATGGTCTTGAGACGGTTTGAAATCGCTTGTTGAGTCATTCGCAAGTTTTCTGCGAGCTGCTCTTGAGTTTGGCATGAGTCTTGGTCCAATAATGCCTCTAACTCAGCGTCTTCAAACTTTACTGGCCTTCCTTCGCGTTCTTTAACTTCCACGTCAAACTCGCTGTTTTTAAACTTTTGAAACTACTCACGACAACTTCTTTCACTTAAAGCAGCATTACCGTAAACTTCTATAAGCGACCGATGAGCCTCAGCAGCAGATTTCTTTAATTAAAAGAAATAAATCAAAACTTCCCGCGAATGACGCTTATTCGGTATAAAACTCGACATTTTCAAAAGAAAAAAATGTACACTGCCAATACAAAGTCAATAGTATTTTAAGGTTATGTTGTTGCCAGGTGTCCAAACTTTCTATATGATGTTTTACATCTGACGATTTCAAAGTAATCTTGTCGGTGGAGCCATCTTTTGAAAACGACGGAAACTTATTTGTATTACTAATAATTTAAGATAATATATTTCTCATATAAAAGTATAATAATTTGCATAATTTATATAACAGGATCTGCTTCGAATAAATTACAAACATTCAACATCCTTATCGTGTATTTCGAGATTTTGAAGAAAAGAAAAAAAAGATAACTCGTTATGAAACAGCGAATAAGATTAGTAACGTGAGTCTTTATCTTATTTCTAAAGAATAACTTTCTGCAACATAGCTTTATCATACATGGTTGAATTTGGCGCAACATAAGCTTTATTAAAATTTGAAAATTTTTCTAAAATATAGAAAAAAATAATGAATGGTAAGTGTGTTATGAAAAATATTACTATTTTTTTTAGCCCAGATACGCCATTAAGTTAACGTACTAGCAGGTCTGCGGATCAGGTTAAGGTCCGGAGAGGCTCATTTACTCTGATCGCAAAACGTACGTTAGGTCTTCCTTTATTTAGGTCAAAGAACTTAATCTCTTTACCTGGGATAGGACCATATGAAAATGTTAAAAGAGGAATTCTGATTGAAGTAATTGAAAGGAAATGAATGAATAAATGTAACAACTTTATTAAATTCTAGGCATTTTGAATAAAACAACTTATTAATTATACTAATAACATAATTTGGTACTCATATGGATTAATAATAGTGATAAATTGATGAGAAAATTCATTGTAAAAAATACAATATTTAAAAGATGAAATAGTTAACTAATGTTAAACCATGAGAAATATAGGTGAACATTAAACAAACTTTTATAAATCAGCATTATTGGAATGATTCAAATAAAAGATGAAGATTAAAGTAAGATTATGTAAAAAGTATTTCGTATAACTTATTATAATACAATCATATTTAACGTGACAAGAATGTTTAACATATCGATATGACGAGAAAAACAACATTATATAATACAAGGAAGATAATAATTACGTAGTGTATGTGTGTGTTTTAAGATGTGAAGTGGGATTGGAGATAAGATTGAAATTATTATTAAGTGTACAACTTTGTTCTCGTCGTTTTTTTTAAATTGAGGCTTTATTATAAAAAAATGGAGATAAAGTTATGACTCAAAGTATTGTCCATCACTGGCCCACTACTTTCTCCCATCTTTTGGGCAATGCACGAATCCCGCGTCAAAAAAACTGGTCATCTTTTGAGGTAATCCACAAATCTATCCATTTTCTGATTTCTTCATAAGACTGGAAGTGTTGGTCAGCCAGGCCGTGTGCCATTGATCGGAATAAGTGATAATCCGAAGGTGCAACGTCTGGAGAGTACGGCGGGTGGGGTAGGACTTCCCATTTCAACATTTCCAAGTATGTCTTGACCACTTTTGCAACATGGGGTCGAGCATTGTCATGCTGCAAAATCACTTTCTCGTGTCTCTCGGCGTAGTGCGGCCGCTTGTCTTTCAATGCTCGGCTCAAACGCATCAATTGAGTTCGATACCGATCGCCTGTGATTGTTTCAGTTGGTTTTAATAGCTCGTAATACACTACGCAGAGCTGATCCCACCAAATACAGAGCATTACTTTTGAGCCATGAATGTTCAGTTTGGCCGTCGATGTGGAAGCATGGCCGGGAACTCCCCATGATTTTCTGCTCTTGGANTGATTTTCTGCGATTGGGGTTATTGTAATGAACCCATTTTTCATCTCCAGTCACAATGCGATGCAGAAATCCTTTTCGTCTTTGCCTTTCAAGCAGCTGTTCACAAGCAAACAAACGCCGTTCAACATCTCTTGGCTTCAACTCGTACGGCACCCAATACCCTTGCTTTTGAATCATTCCCATGACTTTGAGGCGCTTCGAAATGGCTTGTTGAGTCACTTCCAATGATTGTGCCAGTTATTTCTGAGTTTGACACAAGTCTTCATCAAGTAATGCCTCCAATTCAGCATCTTCAAAAATTTTTCCTCTTCCACCGCTATGCCGCTATTTCAACGTGAAAATCACCGTTTGTGAAGTGTTGAAACCACTCACGACACGTTTTTTCATTAATAGCGATCTTACCATAGGTATTTGAGAGCATTTGATAAGCCTCAGCCGCAGATTTCTTCATATTGAAGTAGAAAAGTAAAACCTCCCGCAAATGACGAGAATTCGGCTCGTAAACTGACATCTTCAATCGACGATAACTTTATGGTACAGATACAAATCGACTAATGTAACTATTAGGTTATGTTGACAGATGCCCAAGTTGGTTGTATGACGTATATGATCTATTTACTTTGACCACTAAGTTCCACTAAAGCCATCTATAGGGAAACGGCGGGAGCAAAGTTGTTCACCTAATATAATAATTTGTTGTGCAACGGACGAGGGCACCTTCCGCTCTGACATTATGATACTGATTAACGGAGCGCTAATGAGAAGTCGCATAGGGGGGAATCTCATTTAGGCATCCCCACCTATAACGCTGAGGAGCCTGGCCTCTCTTCGTTCGCTTCACTGCGAGTATAAAAATAATTTCCGTTTATATTTGATTCACCTTCGTATTAGCATTCTTTGTCCGTTGAAATGAAATTTCATTTAAGAAATGAATGACTATCGGAATCATTCGAGTTGGATTGACATTTTACTTTTACGTATATATAAGAAATTCCTTCACTCCGCATTTCTCTCTCTGTCTCTCTCTCTCTCTCTCTCTCTCTCTCTCTCTCTCTCTCTCTCTCTCTCTTTTTTTCGTGTAGTGAATATTTTCATTTCGTTCCTAGTCTAACTGAACGAAACCCAATGGCGTATGTTATAAGCAACAAAATGAACGTGCCTTACTGTAACTGTTCTGTGGCTGTTGCGTTCTTATTTTCGATAATTAGTAACAATTAGTATTAAATTTCTATACATTGAAAGGCCTATTTAGTTGAATTAAACTGAACTTTTGCTTGAATATAAGCAAACAAATGTTTGTGTTATAAAAAACAAAGTTTAGTTTAATTCTCTTAGGTGCTTTCAACAAAACATTTTTCATTTTTGCTTCAGCCCATATACAAACAAAAATATAATTTAAAACAACTAAATGAGTTTGGCAATGTGAGGATCGTTGAACGCAAATAAAATTACCTGGATTTCCTGAAGATATCCCAGTATGCTGAGCACAAAATTTGCAGCAGTTGTTGCGGGGTCGTGACCTTGTAATATTTTCATTCATTATCTCCCAGTTTTGGACAAGACGTGTTAGTGTGCGTAGTGATACCTTTGCAAACATGGATTTCGATTTCAGTGGTTTATTAAAAAATCTTATTAAATCTAAAAATGCATTACTGCTGCGAGGTTGATATTACACCCCCGAACAAAACGGAGTTGACAAAATCCAAAATCTCCTTGTCGGTCAATTCCGCTTTTTTTCATGTCCAACAACATCTCCAAAAAAGAAAGTAACTTTTTCTCGCCCACGTCGTTTCGATCCATATCGTCGAAATTATTTCTCGCATAATGCACCTTGTAATTGATTGTGTTCATGCTGTCCTCTGTATCCTTGGTTAAATTTTCTGTCTCGTTTTGATGTCTATTTTTAATCTGCTTTTCTTCGATGCCCTTCCATTTCACTTGGATCACTATCCCCGCCACCGAGTGGGCAGTGCAGAGCAACTTTTGCTGCAGCTTGGCGAGTTTCGAAAATCTGAACAACAGATCCGATAATAACGACATGTCTATCTGTCGTTTGTGCACAAATTCGCTCAGTCTGTGGCATTTAAAAACAAGACAATGAAATGTTATATGCATACTTTCAAAGTGATAGCAGATAATAATTACAATGTAACAAAATAAAAACTCTTATTTCATCACGGTTATGGTACAATTAGAGTTAATGTTTTGAATCTTCTTTCAGTTAACTTCGATCTCTGCTTCCACCAAAATAATAACAATTACCATCGATAAGTATTTATAGAAATTGAATCGCTTGTTGCTGTTATCACCAAGTCGCTTCACTAGATCCAAACTGTTCTCATATAACTGAGGCACATATGTCTGTAGTATCTTCATGTGAAATGTGGCTAATACCGTTTTTCTTTTTTTAAACCATTTAGCGCTGTGATTGAACAACATGCTGTCTCCGAGCCACGGTTTAATATATCTAGAATGATGGTGATAATTTTAGATAATGGTAGAATCAAAATTCTTTGCGCAACTAGCACTTTTAAGTATAAACAAACAAAAGACTAAATGGGTTTACTCTGATTAATGATCCAAATCAGACGGAATAAAAAAATAATAAAGATGTTAAGATGGCATTAAAATGACGAGAGAATAATTATTATAACTAATTTGTCAATCATTATCTCGACATTTTAACGTTATCGTGACAATATTCCGTCTGAAAATTGATTTTAATGGATTTATTTACCCATATCCCTCGGGTTTGTCGATGTGCTTAAAGTTATTTAAAATTATCTCTATATCTTGCGCATCTGTTTAGAAGATAACAATTCATGTTCCGAAATGTGCTGTTGCTGCGGCTTTTTATAAGAGCTTTCAAAATAAAATTAAAAGATATCCAACTAGTAATGGGCTACCCCATAGGAACTATGTTCCCGGATACTGTCGGGATATTTAGTCGGGATATTTAAGTATAAAAAATTATTGGACATGCTATCCGAGTTTCCGGATATATACGGATAATAATATAGTTGACTTTCTCATAATATGTGTTTGTTAAAATTTATGATTATCTCGTCAGAAATATTTCGTTTAACAGTTGCACACATAAGTGCATTGTTCAGATTGCGATAAAAATTGCTAGTTTTTTTACTGGAGGCAAGGAATACGATCATGAAAATGGAATTGAAGAGAATTGGTTGCATACCTGCTCGAAAACTTGTGTTGCGTGGGTCGAGTCGACGCGAGTAGTGTGGGATGTCCGTCGCAGCGCGGTAGAACGGAAGGCGATGGTGGCAATAAATTATCTCTCGTTCGAAGATGAACTTGTCTTTATTATGTTTTCAGACCGATGCAGTATTTCTAGTCTGAACAACAGCATGTCGGTACCCGAGAGCTGAGAGTCTAGAGAACTAGAGTCGCCCAGAGTATGATCTCATGTCCCTTTTATCCTCTTCCTATGTCTAAATCAGAGGGGGTATTTTGATGTATTAGCGTCACTTGGATATAGATCTTGACCACATTGATTTTGGTATTGCAATGCGGAGTAGCATTTCTGCATGGTGACGTTACGTAATTGGGGCAACCTGCAATCGTACTTTGTTTATGGCAATCGACGTTTCATGGTTATGCTTACAACACTTAGACATAGTCAATAAAGATTATAGCGAGCGACTTCGGCGAGGAAAATTTAATAATTTGCTGTTATGAAAATTTTTGATGAAATGATATGTTACAGTCAGGGATCCGGACAGGACCGAAATTGAAAACCATAGAAAAAATGGTATTTTTGTCGAACCGGAACCGTAAATTGTACCGAAACATTATAAAGCCTACAGAGCCGGAACCGAAATCGGAACAATTGCATTTTTTCGGTTTGCTGTTTTTTCGGTTTACTACTGTGAAAACAAATTAGTTCGGTCCGTTTTCAAAAGATGGCTCTGGCTGTTATGGATGTTTTATAGTGACAGCTGATTTCGGTGGTTTCAGAGAGGTTAGACATCTGTCAATAATATTCAGTTTATACAGATTTAAGTTTCATACAAAACCCCTGTTTTCTACTGTGTTGAATATTTCAAATTTTGTGTTAACTAAGCAGCATTTGGGGGAGGTTTTAGTTTTCTGCTTTAATTGGAAGAAAAGTGCAGCTGAAGCGCATCGAATGCTTGTAGAAGTTTATGGTGACAATGCTCCAACTGATAAATTATGTAGGGAATGTTTTTGACGTATAAGAATGGTGATTTCAGCGTTGAAGACAAGCCTCGTTCTAGACAGCCAAAAAAATTCGAAGACAAAAAATTGGAGACATTACTCGATGAAGATCCGAGTCAAACGCAAAAGGAGCTTACAGAATCAATAGGAGTTACGCAACAAGCAGTTCCGATGCAATTGAAATCCATGGTAATGATTCACAAGCAAGGCAATTGGGTGCCTTATAAACTGAAACAGAGAAATGTTGAAAGGCGATTTTTTACTTGCGGGCAGCTAATTCAAAGGCAACAAAGAAAGGGTTTTTTACATCGGATTGTGACTGGGGATGAGAAATGGATATTCTACGATAACCCCAAGAAGAAGAAATACTACGTTATGACCGGTCAATCTTTGCCATCAACCTCAACATTAACACCAAAGACGAAAATTTATGGTTCGAAGGTCATGCTGTCTATCTGGTGAGACTAAGAGGGTATTGTATACTATAAGCTGCTACAACCTTGCGATTCCATTACGGGCCATCGGTATAGGCTACAATTGATTTGTTTGAGCGGTGCAATACGAGAAAAACGACCGGAACACAAGCAAAGACATGACAAAGTTATTCTTTTGCATGATAACGCTCGGCCTTATGCCGGAAAAGTCGTTAAAATTATTTGGAAACGCTTAAGTGGGATATTTTACCGCACCCGCCATATTCGCCGGACATTGCTCCTTCTGATTACTGGTTATTCTGACGGATGCAGCACGATTTGGCAGGTCACTGGCTCATTTCTTTTGCAGATACCAAAAATTGGCTCCTAAATTGGATCGCCTCAAGAGACGAGACATTTTTTCGAGATGGAATTTTAAAATTATCTAAAAGGTAGGAAAAAGTAATAGCCAGCGATAGACAATACTTTGATTAATCTGTTCGTTCATTTTGTTCTGAAATAAATGCATTTTTGACCACAAAAACGGACCGAACTAATTTGTACTCCCAATATTTTGTTTCTCCTTTGTGATTTTAAATAATCGTTTTTTTTTTCATAATAAAATTCTAGTTTTCACGAAAAAGCAGAACATTGATCAGTTATTGTGACAAAATGAAAATAAAACTCAAGCGTATGATATTGAACAGAAGAGGATTAAGGAGAAATAATACTGTTACGCCCGTGTCTTGATGCCCGCGCTTTTTGCGCTCTGAACATACAGCTGATTCTTTCGACAACGAGTCGTAAACAACAAATGATCAGCGTTGACCAATTAACAACGGGTTTGAGAGATTTTCTCTTGGGCGATCGAGTCGTCGTGACATGTACGTCAGTCTTTCACGAGAGAGAGAGAGAAAGAGAGAGAGNAGAGAGAGAGAGAGAGAGAGAGAGAGAGAGAGAGAGAGCTTGAGTCTGCATGCTTTCTTGTAAATAGCAAATATATAATTGAAGTTGTTTCCCATTTAACGTTGTCTCGTTTCACTTCCCCGCGCGAACGTAACAATACATATATGCCACAGCTTCAAATTATAATAGTATCGAATTCTTTCAATAAAACTGCAAAGCAGAATTGTTGCTAAGCGGCTAAAATGCTTGTATACTACGACATGCACTCTTGCTGTTGATGTTCGATTCGTATTTATCTCATTGTTTTTCATTTTCAAATCTTCATTCAAGCGGATTATAAATTTCCTTATTTCTTGCAACAAAAAATCAAAGATTCACTATAAGAGAATATATTTTTAATGTTCTACATCAATATAATTGCAACTTGGAACTATGGCATACACGCAAAGTTTATATAACAACTTTAATCAGATTTAATATTACAATCCTTGTTACAACTCGTTGTATAAAGTAATTACGAGAGTGAATCAAATATAAATGAGTCCTTTTAAATTGCGCGCCCGACGGCGGCGTGAGGGGTGTGCAACGTTTTGAACAGTGAAGAGGGGTCATGTGGAACGCAGTAATAACGTTGGCGCGCCACGTGCTTTTTACTCTCAGCAGCAATTATGATGAGCGAGAAAGAGGTACAACCCGCAGTTGCATAACGTGTTATTATTAAGTTTCTTGTCAACGAAAATGTAAATGCTGCTGAAATTCGGCGCCGTTTACTTCCACAGTTTTGGGAAAGAACCCTTTCATGGGTTCGGGTGAAGCAGTGGTGTAACGAATTTAAGAGAAGACGGAAGCAAGTTGAAAATATTGCTCAACCGCGTCGTCCCCGCACGAGCATCACAGCGCAGGACACCGAGGCTGTTCGAGAACTCACCGAAAACGATCGGCACTTAATTGTTCTTAAAATCTCTCAGGAACTTCAGTCCGAGCTGCCTATCGGTCAAAAAGTTGCGGCATTCCAATCAAAAGTGTGTTGTTTCTCCACGACAACGCCAAACACTGCAACAGTAACGCAACAAAAATTGGCTGATATGCATTCGACTGTCCTAGAACATCTACCCTACAGCCCAGACCTGTCACCATTCGACTTCCATATATTTAGGAAGCCCTTGGTGGACAGCGCTTCAGAGCGAACGAGGAGGTCCAGCAGTTCGTGTGTAATTGGTTTGATACACGTCTGCGAACTTTTTATGATCTCGGGATTAAAAAATTATCAGACCGTTGGAGGAAGTGTGTGGATAAGATAGGGGATCACCAGGTGTAGAAGTATGAAACCGGAAATTTATGTAAAAATTACACGTCTGTTGTTTGAAAATGATAAGAAATATTTTATTCATAATAATGTCCATTGCTATTTATACATTTTTCCCACCACTCCGGCAGTTTATAAATGCCACGCTAAAAAAACATTTCTTCTTTTGAAGCGAACCAGCTATCGAACCATTTTCGTACATTTTCATACGAACTGAAGCTTTGTTCAGCGAGAGCGATGCGAATAAATGATAATCGGACGGAGCCAAGTCTGGAGAATAAACCGCATGCGTTAGTATTTCCCAACTAAACGTCTCGATCGTTTCCCTGATCCGTCTTGCTGTGTGTGATGGGGCATTATCATGAAGCAAAATAACTTTGTGTTGCCTTTTTCCATATTCCGGTCGTTTTTCACGCAATGCTCGATTTAAATCGATCATTTGCTGTTGGTAACGATCAGTGTTAACTGTTTCACCAGGTTTTAGCAGCTCATAATAGATTACACCCTTCTGATCCCACCAAACACAGAGCATTGTCTTCTTTCCAAAGCGATTGCAGTGGATGTCGATGGTTCGCCTGGATTCACCCATGATTTTTGAAGCTTAGGATTCTCAA